AGAGCAGAACTTGACATGTGATATGGTAACCGGCAAGGTTTCAAGACTATCTATGCATACATTTTAAGAAGTTAAAACCCTTTTTTTCCCTTAAGCCAGCTCAAGGCCCTCAGTGCAATGAATAGTGAGAATGATACTGCTGTTGATTTAGCCAAAAAGCCGTCTTATCCTATCCAGACCACAGTTTCCAACTTGCTTGGGTCTCGACAGCACACCCACCCGGCAGGATTCGAGGCCTAACGCCTTGAGGAGAGAAATACTGGCATTTTAGAAACCTACTCAGTATGCAATAAGTAATATCGTTGAAAGTATGAAGATCATTTATGGTCATTTTATTTTATTTGGAAGCGACTACATTCCATGCTTTGTGTAGTTTGGAGACAAAATAAAAAATGATTAGAAGCCCAGTGACCGCCACAACTTAACGGGAAATGTGATCATTTCGCTTGCGCAAACAGTAAAGCATTGATGCATTTCATAACAAACCATCGAACATAAATGGTTTTATGCAGGAACTGCTGGTTTGGAAGAAGTAAACTACAATACGAAAAATGAAACCCTATTTGGAAAACGCATCTTAGATTGAAATCAAAAAAACGAATACGGATTTCCTCTTCATATTCCATTTTCAAGAAAATTTTTTGTGCCTAGTTTGTGTGACAATTCTTGATTCATTATTCATTTTTATGTGAATCTACACATCGCTCTGGAGAATGAATGTAAACAGCAACGGTTGTGCTACGAAAAGCCCATTTTCCCAGAAAGTCTACCCCATCTGAGCAGCAAATGTATCTGCGGACGGTTCCTCGTCATTGACAATGCTGACAATCAAACTTATCTTTCCTCACACTTGCCATTTAAGTGATATTGCGAAAAGTGCTTTTTCTACGCGCTCTGCATGCACCTTTTCGGGTTGACCGAAATTATAATAAAATGCGTTCAGTAAGATGAAGCTAGCCAATACTACTTATATCTTGCTAGTAGGCTTCAGAGTACAGGCTAATATTTGGTTATTGTTAAGCGCTAACATGTACTAAAATACGGTATTCTTTAGCTAACTCTGATAAACGTCGATATTACTTTCTTAACATAACATTATATACAACCATATGCTAAGCTGGACTCTTTTGTAAACTGAGATTAGTTAAATCGAAGATATGAAGACCAAGATGGTGTGGCCTTTTGTGTGGTCGCAGTCTCCTTTCGTTGT